TGTAGGGCCGGCTCCCCTCCCCTGACCCTGCAAACTCAACCCTCTGCCCGGGATCGTGGGGTAACCCCGCAGCCTGGCGAGCCCAGCATCAGGGAGCTGACCCGGACACGGGCCACGTAGGGACTGCAGCCTTCCACAGGCCACCCTCATCTGGCCCTGGCCTGAGTGGGAATCCGCTTCCCACACCTCCACTCCCCTGCTGAAGGTCGAGGCAGGTACTGGAGGCAGCCACCAGCCCCTGGAAACAGGTGCAGGCCTCATCCCTCAGGTCCTATCCCTCGGGCCCCCTTTCAAACTGAGGCCTGACACGTATGCATAAGCCTCTGGGTCTCAGCCCGCCTCCAGGCGGCCATATGCAGCATCTGGCTGGTGGGACCTCTGACCCTGTGATCCGGCCGCCTGTGTCAGGCTCTGGGACTGCCTGCCAAGCCGAGTCTCTTCCTGGGACATGGCAGGACCAAGGCTGCTCTGAGAGTCTTCCCAGCAGAGGCCCGCGGGGGCCCGGGAGGCCGGTGGCCTGGGACGGCTGACATACCACGTCATTCTGTGTGGGAAGAGATCCCGCCAGAGCCGCAGGGACCCCCCAGCACAGTGCTGTCCTGCCAGGCAGAGACTGCCTCTTTTTCAGATGATTTTGCAAACGAGAAAATGAAACAAAAACTCCTTATTATAAAGAAATACCAGTGGCTCCCTTTGGGGCTTTTTGTGTGTTTCAGTGTCCCCTACTGGACACTGGCTTCCTGGGTCAGGATGGGGCCTCCCAGAGCTCTGCGTGGCCAGCGCAGCCCACACGAGCGAGGCCCTCTGCGGATGTGTGCTGCGGGGCTTCCCGAAGGCTGGACCCCTGAAGGTGACCTTTGAGACAAGATCCGCGCCTCCTTCCGGCGAGGTCTTGGCGGCCAAGGCAAAGCCTCTGCTGCCATCTGTTGGTGAGTCTTGGAATCGCAGGTGGTCATCAGGGAACTGGACACCCCTGGGAGAATCTAGCTCACCACCCTCGTGAACCGGTAAGGACGGGAATCTGATACTCAGAGGGCTTGATAAATCTGCCCGTGTTCACGCAGCGAGCCGCCTGCAGAACAACCAGCCTGGCTTCCTCAGTGCCTCCTGACTTACTGGTTAGGGGTGAGGCTGTATAATACCCATCAGGTAGGGGTTCCGAGTCCCGCCTTTGAGGTCAGGCAGAGGGGGTGGGTCCCGGCCGGGCCCTCACCAATGGGGAACACCGGGCAAGGGACTCAGCCTCCAACCCTGGGTTTCCTCCCTAACAGTGGAGCCTGTTACAGGCGGCTGGGCTGCTTGAGGGCTGCCAGCTGCCAGGGCGGTTGGCACAGTGCCTGGCACACAGTAGGTGCTCAGTGAATGCTTGCTGCTGCTGCTGAGGAGGACCCAGAGATCTACAGTGCGACCTGAGCCCTGGGACGGGAGAGGCGACCTCCAGCGAGACTGCTCTCTCCGCACTCGCCCCACCCATGGAGGCGACCACTCTGGCCTGTCCCGGATTAGCCTGGTCGTAGGTGTCTCTTGGAGAATTATGGGACACACAGACTCCTGGACTCCAGCCCCGCACGGTCCAATTTGCTGGGTCTGGGACAGGGCCCAGGAATCTGTATTTGTACAGCACTCTGGGTGGGTCCCAAAGGCCGACAGTTTTGGGGGATGCTGACCCATCCCACCTTCATGGTTCTGGTAGAGGGGACAGACACGTGCCCTAGAGCGGGAAGGGCCAGGCTCTGGCGGCCCAGGACTGTCTGGGCAGTGCCTCCCCCAGGAGACATGTGACCAGAGGTAGACGCTTGTCACCTAACCTGGGTGAGGAAGGGCCAGCAGGCAGAGGCACAGCATCAGGTGGTGGGGGCCTGGCACCTGCACAGGTGATGAGCTCCAGGCCCTGCATCAGTAGACAGACACAAGCTTGGGAGGAGCCTGAAGGGAGGGGGAGCAGACGGTCGTCTGGGTTCAGAAGTTCCTCCTGCAACAGCCCGAGGGACTGATACCGGTGGGAGCACCACAGTCAGGGATCTGGTGGCCGTCAGATCCCAGAGCGCGGCCGGGCAGCCGCAGTCCAAGCTGTGCTCCCTGCTTTGCATCAGTGCGGCCTCCGGTCCAGCAAGCGTCAGGCAGACTCGCCCTCGGCTCTGCAGAAGATGGTGGTCAGCTGGGTGCCTGCGCAGAGTCCGTGTAACTTGGCTGACAGCAACCATGGTGGGTGGGCCGTGCGGGGAGACTGTTCCAGAACAGACCCTAAGACGAGGAGGCTCGGACGCCAGCTGACATGGCAGCACCAGACAGGCGAAGGCCACCGGGATGCAGGCTGGGGCTCCTGGGCCCAGGAGGGGCCGACCCTGGCCCTCTGTCAATGGCCTCAGGAGCTGGTCGTGCCCCAGAGTCCCGGGCATCTCTGAAGGTGCAGAGCAGCTGTGGGCCAGCCCTTGGGCCCCTTAGTTTGAGAAACACCCAGACAGGGAGAGCAGAGGAGGGGCGTGTACCGCCCGGGGGCCCTGGGAGGACAGCGGGACGAGGCTTTGCCTCAGGAGTGCAGGCAAGGTGGGGTCTCCCAGTGTGCTGCCATCAGGGAAAGTCCTCTCAGCTCCCTGAAAATCCCCAAGGAGCTCCATCCCAGATTCCCAGAGCCTGCTGTGTGACCTCACAGCCCTCCCCAGAGGGCCAAAGTCTGCATATTCAGGCCTGTATTAGTCACCTCAAGCTGCCGTGAGGAATGCCATAGACAGGGAGGCTTAAACAACAGTTCATTTTCTCACGGTCCTGGAGGCTGGAAATCTGAGATCAAGGTGCCACAGGCGTGGTTCCTCTGAGGTCTCCCTCCGGGGCATGGAGACGGCTGTCCCCTCCCTGTGTCCCCCCTTAGTCATCCCTCTGTGTGTGTCTGGGTCCTAACCTCCTCTCCTTGTAAGGACACCAGCCCTATGGGATTAGGAGCCACCCTCATGACATCATTTTAAATTATTCACCCCTTTGGAGACCCTCATCTTCAAAATAGTCACATTCCAGGGCTTCCCTGGTGGCGCAGTGGTTGAGAGTCCACCTGCCGATGCAGGGGACACGGGTTCGTGCCCCGGTCCGGGAAGATCCCACGTGCCACGGAGCGGCTGGGCCCGTGAGCCATGGCCGCTGAGCCTGCGCGTCCGGAGCCTGTGCTCCGCGACGGGAGAGGCCGCAACAGTGAGAGGCCCGCGTACCGCAAAAAAAAACAAAACAAAAGTCACACTCTGAAATGCTGGAGGTGAGGACTTACATATGGATTTGGGGATCACAGCTCAGGCTGTTACCAGGCCTGGGCAAGAACCACAGCGAACTCAAGACCAGCGGCAACTAATGACAGCTCAGTTCTGGCTGCGGCCAGACCAACAGGACCCCTCAGTCCCCTAGACCCAGTGCAGTGATAGGCCAGGCTGTACAAAATGGAAGGTGCCCTCTGGGGGGGACCCGGGAGGAACAGGGGCCTCAGAGACTCTGATTTTCCAAAATACCTGCCCAGCCCCCAAGTGCCATGGCTGTTTATGCCGCCTACCCAGGGTATGCCCTTCTCCACGGGTGTGGATGAAAAGGCAGGGCGGCGGCAGGGGGGCTGCTTCCTGTTGGAAGGAGCCTGGGGGGAGCGGGTGGAAAGCAGTCTGGAGAAGCTCCCACAGGGTGAGGCCCTTTCCGTAGATGGGGCCAAACCCAGAGTGACCCCAAGCTACAAGGGCGCAAGTGTGTGTGTGTGTGTGTGTGTGTGTGTGTGTGTGTGTTCTCACACTGTGTGTTAAGCAGGGCTCACTTTTGGAAATCCTCCCATGTGCCCTCCCCGCTTGCTGTCCAGTTTCTCCCGGTAGGAGAAGCCTGGGCGCCACCACAAGGAACATTCCGCTGGGCCCCATCAGGGCGCCCAGGACCCCTGGCCTCCACTGCCCGGGAGAGGGCCCTCCACATGGCCTGACGACACCAGCAGTGCCCGTCCAGCCGGGGCATCCGCTCGCTTCCCACTCCCGGAGGCCACATCCGGCCACCCACTGCCCTCTGCATGGTCACCATGCAGCTGGCAGCCCCTAGCTGATCCGCCCACCCCCTGCTGGCTCCCCCACCTCGTCTCCTCCCATAGCGGGCGAGTCTGGGCAGGCACAGCACGAAGGCCACCCCTCTGGGTGGGGGACACTCAGACCTGGTCGCCAGAAACCCCCGAGGGCCCCGTGCCTGTTCCAGGAAAGGGGAGCCAGAGTGAAGGGGGGCCCCCAGGGCATGGTACCTAACAGGGATGGACACTTCTGATGTCCAGGGAGCAAAACCCCAAGGGAGCTGGGACAGAAGTCCCCAGGGGGAGGCCAGCGGTCAGGAAATCCCCACCTGGCACCCCAGTTCCCACACAGCGTTACAGAAGGGAGCCCAGATCCTCTCCCTCCCAAGTCCCCCGCCCCCTCCCCTCCCCCCTCCATCCCTCGGGGCTCTTGGAGGAGCCCCCTCCTTCCTGCACCGGGTCTGGGAGCCAGAAGGCGACCCGTCACTTAGAGGCAGCCGGGGCTGAACAGGGACAGGCGGACCAGTCTCCCCCGCCCCTCCACCCCTCGCATCCCCACTACGGGTCCCCTCGCGCCTTCTCCATAGCTCTCCAACCCCCTGCCCCGAAAATAGCACGGCCAGCACACAGCAAGTTGCTTGTGTCACCTGCTCTTTATTGACTGCCACGGGCTGCCTTCTCATGGGTGACCAGATGCCCCAAGAGCGGCACTACATAGAGGAGGGTTGGAGGGGAGGGGGTCTGAGAGGTGCAGCCTGCAGAGAGCCCGGGCGCACGGGAGCCCCCGCCAGACGGACCTCACGGCTCCCAGCTCAACCCCGGTGCGGGCGCCTGCCACCGAGGGCTGAGACGCACCTGGCTGGCCCTGGAGACCAGAGGCCACCCAGAGATTGCTCAGCAAGGGGTGTTCTCTGACCTCCCAGCCAGCCTGGATGGCCCGCAAGCCCGGGAGGATGGGGATTGCCGTCTGAGAAGCTGGGATGGCGGTCACTTCCACCGCCTGGCTGGTGTTGGGATCCGGGTCACTCTGAGGTCTCAGCACCTCAGGCCAAGGCCCCGAGCTCTCCAGGCTACTCCCTCAAACCCTCATGCCCTCAGAGAAGAGGAAAAGGAAACGGAAAAGGGGGAGGCGGGGGAGACGGACACCCCACTTTCTAGGGTTCCCCCGGAGGGATGGGTGGCGGGGGCCGCAGCGGGTGGCAGCCGAGGCCGAGGCCGAGCTTAGGAGGAGGGCGCGGCGCTGGGCTTCTCTCCCCGCGACACGGGGACGGCCCGCTCACTGTGGCTGGCGTCCGTGCCGGACGGGACCTTGGGGCCAGAGAACGTCAGCATGCCGTCCGCAGACAGCGAGCAAGAGAGCGCGGACTGGTCCACGTTGGAAGGCAGGCGGTAGCGGCGGTGGAACTCGCGGGAGATGTAGCCGTGGTCATCCTGGGGGGCCGGGGGAGGGCGCGGTCAGAGACGCCGCCGCAGCGGGTGGTGGCCGCCTCGCACAGAGGAGGCCCTCCTGGACCACACGAGGCTCAGACCCATGATACCCTCACAGGGCAGGGGCTGGACCGTGTCCAGGGCCCTGGGACCGCCCTGCATCCCTGCATACAGTCTGGGCTTGCCTGGGGCCCCTGGATCTTCACGATAATTTCACCCCAACGTCGTGTGAGTGGTCCTGCCCCTGGCCCTGCCCTTGAGTCCAGCTATCCCTGCACCTCTGGCCTCACAGACTGCTTGGGGTCAGGTCCCTGCCATCCATCTAGCTGGGTCAGAAAGTCATGCCTCGATGTTCCCTTCTCCTGACACCCTGGACCCAGCTTAGCCCCTGGCCCGACTCCCTCCCCTCCAGGTTGAAAGACCCAGAGCCTCAGCGTAGTGTCCGGGCATCTCCAGGGGCCCAGGAGGGGAGAGCAGCAGATGCAGTGGGGTCTCTCCCCTGCCTCCAGCTTCTCCACTACTGGACAAAGCCCTGATCTCCGAGCTGTCCTGGCTGGGCCCCTACCCCATCGAGATAACGGGCTCCAGGCACCCGGGCTCCAATACGAGTCAGCTGTACCGTCCTCCCGAGAGAAGCTGGTGTGAAAACCTACGTGGTTTGGAGCTTGCTCCCTTGGTGCTGGCGTCTCCTGGGGTCTTTCCTAATCCCACCCATCACCCAGGGGATTTGGACAGAGCCCGGGATGCTGAGTAGCTCCTAAGTGGGGTTCCCCACAGGCCCCCGCTGGCCGTTCACCCGCTGCCCAGGCCTGCTGCGGGCCTGGGGCGGCCTCCTGTCACCGGGACGGGGCCTCGCTCGGGGGTGCAGCCCCTCCCTGCGAGCCCAGGCTCACCTGCCGCTCGTTGTGCTTGCCGTGGATTTCCACGAAGTCCTCCTGCACCTTCACCGTCAGGTCCTCGGGAGAGAAGTGCTTTACGTCCAGGAAGATGACAAACTTGTCCCGGTCGGATCGCACCTGAAACCAAGTGTCCGTGTGGGTCTCCATGGGGCTGCGGCTCAGAGAGGGGGCTGGCCGGAGCAGCTGGAGTGGGGTGGCCGGGGCTCAGTCCCCAGTTATCCGAACAGAACCTGCGGTCAAGGCTCTAAGCTCTCCATCCATGTGCCCGGGGGACAGAGGGACCTGGGACTCAGGCCACTGTGGCCACTCGGCTGACAGCCAGAGCCCCGGGGCTCTGTGGCCGCCTGGTAGGTGAGGGGTTGCCTGGCTGACTGGCGTGGGCTGCGTGGCCTGTTACAGATTGGTTGGCTGGCTGCTTATGTGTCGTTTGGCTGGTCGGCGGGACTGACCACTTGGAATAAGGTCGCGGCCCTGGGCCTCTGCCCGCCTCTCCGTGAACAGCCTGGGGCTTTGTCTCTGCACACGGACGTGCATGTGACATGCCGGCAGCCTACGTAGGGTGCCCAGCTCCTCGCACAGAAACTGCTTTCAGCTGCCTCCCCTCCCACTCCCCTCGCTGGGGACGCTCCTTTGGGCTCCGTTGGCCCCGGAATGGTCGGCGTTTCACCAGCTCTGAGCAGGCCTCTGTGTTTTAGGCAGTGGTGACCCCTGGCACCTCCAGAACACTGGACCCTGGGAGGGAAGGCCTGTGGGCCGCCTTGCCTGCCCTCGGGGCCTGGCCTTGGGCGCCCGGGCAAACTCGGGAAGAGCCCACACACTGCAGCTCCGTGGCCGCAGAGGGCTTCAGACAGGAGGCCTCCTGCCAGACCTCGCTGCTGGAGGGAAAGTGCAGCCGCAGGCTGCACAGAGCTCCGTCCACCAGCGCCCGTGCCCCGGGCTGTTCTGGGGGCTCCCGGCACATGGAGGACAGCACCAACCACATACGGGCCATGTGCTGATGACAGGAGGAGCAGGCAGCAGGCGGGCTCTTCCTCCCAGCACCCCGGAGGCACGCGAGGCTCTGCTGCGGGGCGGTCTGCCTGGCCTCTGTGCGTCCAGGACGGACGAGGTGGGCTGAGGCGGGCAAGTGGCCCCGCGGCGGTCACCAGCCGCTCCACGAAGCAGGGCGGCAGCACGCAGCGCAGGGGTGCGGCGTCTGCCCCAGGGCCGGCCCTCACAAACCCCCGCTTCTCGCCCGGCCCCCGCGCAGCCGCAGGAGGAAGCGGCGGCGAGCAGCGGGTCTTACCTCGGAGATGCCAGAGTCCAGCACGCTGCGAAAGAGGGACTGGCGGTAGTAGGGGCTGATGGTGGAGGACAGGAAGGGCAGCAAGTCGTACTCGAAGAGCCCCTCGCCGAAGAACTGATCAAACAGCCGGCTAGGGTAGAAGGGGCCCAGGGCACGTTTGAACCAGGGGTGCTGGATGGCGATGTCCATGGTGGGCGCTGGCTCTGCAGGGACCCGGGGCTGGCAGGGAGTCAGGGCAGGGGCCTCTGGGCAGTGCACTGAGGACCCGGGGTGCACGCCCTCCTTATATACGGCGGGACAGAATGGAGGCATCAGGGGGATTTGTCTGGAAGGCGTGAGCTTAGGAGGGAGGCCGCCCAGTCAGCAGAAACGTGGGCTGGGCTGAGCGTGCACGTCTCCCAGCCCTGGGCTGCAGCGCTGACCAGCCCAGAGCTCTGGGCGCCAGGGGAACAGCGTCCCCAGGGAGCTTCTCTGTGCCCCCCACACTCAGCCGGTGCTGCAGCAAAGGCTCGCATCTCCCCTTTCCTGGGCGGGGGTGCTGTGTGCCAGGTAGCATGCCCGTGTCTGCATATGTGTCCCCTGTGACCTCACGGCCACCTTACCAGAGGGAGCTCGTACCCCTGGTTCACAGACGAAGAGAGTGAGGCACAGAGGCTAGACAAGTGGTCCCCAAATCCCACCGCTACGAGGCAAGGCTGCATTGTGTTTTAAAACAGAATTACCTCTATTACTTTTTCCTGATTACAAACATTATACATACTTGTAAAAAATCTCAACAAAGTCAGAAAATGCAGAGAAGAAACTAAAAAGCATCCATAATTCCAGCACCGGGGAGCCCTGCTGTGGGGTCTGTGCACATCCAGAGGGGAGGCAGGTTTGGTTTTACAAACGTGGGAACCCTGCAACCCGGGGTCTCCTCTGGACACCATCCCTGAGAACCTCGAGGCCTGGGAACAGACAGAGCCAGGGTCCTTAGAGCAGGTGCCCTGTCCCTGTTACTGGCCTGGTGACTGGTTTGCTCCTGTCTCTGTGGCCCAACCAGCTATGGCCCAGGATGCATTCCAAGGGGACCAGCCACAGTTGGGGCACTCCTGGCTTTAAGGCTTTCATACTTCTCAGTAGCTTGGCCTCCAGGAGCCTTACACTAACTCAGCACCCCCTCCACACCCGCAGCACAGAAGCGTGCCAGACCCATGCCCTACCCAAGCCAGCTTTTTCATGCACAGTCCAGACGGTGAGATGCTTCTAATTCACCCTGCATCTCCCCAGGTCCTTGTGCAGCTCTGACCAGCGTCCACCTCCTGTTTGTGGGGTCAGTGCATCTTCAAAGCACTCAGGATCTTTTCAAATTTACCTCCAAGCCCTGGGCTTAGTGGGTCAGGAAAGAGTACTCACCCTGTACCTAAGTAGGATTTTGTCTCACACACCTAAGAAGCAACTGGTGTCAAAAGTGGGAATTTCGGCGCCTCCCTCACACAGCCCCTCCCTGACTAGCGGTGCGTAGTATCAAAGCCCACCTCCCTGCCCTTCTGAGCACCTGTGATGTGCATCCAGCCAGTAGTAAAGGGCCCAGAAAAACTGGAAATGCCAATCTACAATTTCGGCAGGTAATTCCCTAGGGTGTCAGGCAACAAGGGCCAAACTAGGGGGCAGATAATCAATACTCTGAGGGGTGGAGGGCACTCTCCCTGCCCCAGGCCTGCCTGAGCCCAGGTGGTGACCTCATGGTTCCTTGCAGCCACCCTAAATGGCATGTAGGTGCCAAATCTCCCCACTTCATAGAAAGGGAAAGTGGGGTATAGAAAGGTTAAACAGGTCACTTAGCATGGAGGAAGGGGAGGGGGCTTTGGCGCAGGCTGCCCACCCAGGCTGGGAGTCAACCGAGGAATGGGCAGGGCTGTGGGCGACCCCACGCAGCATGGGCTGCCTGCTCCTGGGCTTGGGACAGAGGGAGGAAGGGGCAGAGGCATCCAACTGGCTGCTGAGGAGAGGGTCCAGCTGGGCCAGGCACATGGTCAGTGCGGGCCAGGGCCACACTGAAGCTGAAGACAGAAAGCAGAGTCAGCAGTAAGGATCCTGTCTTTATGTACAATTTGATATTTTGTTCATCATGGACTTTTTGCACCCATTTTGATTTGTTTAAACATCACATTAAGATGTGATGTATCCTGATGACTGCGTTTGGTCCCCCTGACACTTGGTCCCCCTGACACTTGGTACGTTCTCACCCTGCACCTGGCTGTCCATGTGGTCCTTCAGAAAGGCTGGGTCTGCAGGCAGGGGCGGGGTACAACCTCTGCCCACGGGATGCACAGCCCAGGGTAGCTGACGGTCCTCCAAGGTCCTTCAGACACATAGGGATGCCCAGGCACTCACGCATGCCCCCGACCCGTGGGCTGCAGCCAGCGGGAGCCCAGAGCTGGCCTTCAGAGTGAGCCAGCACCAAGGTGGCAAACCCAACCATGCAAGCCCCGGACAGGGGGCCCAGGATGGCTGCAGAGCCCTTGGGGACCTTTCCAACCCAAGCTGACGGTGTTGTATCAGTTTCCTGCAGCTGCTGTAACAAAAGACCACAAACTTGGTGGCTGAAAACAACACAAATGTATTACCTTGTAGTGTGGAGGTCAGAAGTCCCAATGGGTCTCACTGGGCTCAAATCAAGGTGTCGGCAGGGCTGGTCCCTCCTGCAGGCTCCAGGGGAGACTCCATTTCTTGCCTTTTCCAGCTTCCAGAGGCTGCCCATCCCTTGACCCATGTTCCTTTCCTCTGTCTTCCAAGGCAGGCGTCACATCACATCCCTCTGGCTGTCCCCCTCTGCCTCCCTCTAGTAAGGACCCTGTGATTACTGAGCCCACCCGGGGAATCCAGGATCACACCCCCAGCCTTACAGTCTGCTCTTTAAGGAACCTTATTTCCCCCCTTGCCATGTAAGGTGACACATTCACTGGTTCTGGAATCAGGGTGGGGAGGCCATTAACCACCTGCTGCAGGGAGGGAAGCCTGTGATGACAGGCACCCTCCCTCGGGGCAGCTGGAGGGACCCTCCACTCGGGAAATGCCCACCAGTAACGGCCAATACGAACTCACATCACTCAGAGCCACCACCTCGTTCAGGTCAACTTACGTCTCCGTCAGGTGTCTGAGCCCGTCCAACTTTCTCTCCGGTTTGCTGACCTCGCCTATCAGCCAAACTTGTGGCTCACACGCGCCATGGCAGGCGGTCTAGAGCTCTGCAAAGTGGCCACAGGGATGGGAGGTGATGCGGGATGGAGTGATGGGCGACCGGCTGTTTCCAGCTCACCTGTGCGAACTCACCCTGCCTCACACCTGACCCCACACAGCCCAGACCCTCCCACCCTGGATTCTTGGAAAACAAGACACTTTTTCTCCGGGCCTGGGTTCCTCCTTGAATTCATGACCATGTGCTAAGGGGTGCGCTGTCTGCATCTGCGGAGATTTAAAACAATAACAGACCACCCAAAAGTCCGTTCTAATCATGCAGGTGTAAAATACGCCTCCTCTTCTGTTAGTCTGAGGTCTGAGCAATCTATACATAATAATCCAGTCCGTTTTCCTTATTGGAGGGAGTGATGTCCTATAAAGTTGCCGTGAACAGTGAACTGGTAACTACTGAGCCATTTCTCCCGGGGAAACACAGGGTCAGGTCCTACCAGCCTCTGGTCACAACATTTTCATCAGTCACTACGTGGGCAACAGAATCTTCGATCTCTACATGGGCAACATCTTCACCGATCAATACATGAGCTTCTTTGGTGTGTGTTTCTGTGCAAACACAGCTAATTTCATACATGTGGTTGATTCATTGACACTGAACACACGCCAGCAGCCCCATAACTCACTCCTGTAGTGAAGCTCACCTGACACATGTTTTCTCCGGGGAGGCACATCCCAGCCCTCCCACACTTGGGACACTAGACAGCCCTTCCCACTGTGCTTGGGACCATGTAAACAGTGAAGCCACAAAAAGCAGAAAAATTGGGAAACGGGATACTAAACAGACCCTGGAAAGGACGCTGGTTTGCAGCACGAGCTGAAACAAGCAGGCGGAGTCACCCTGTCACCCTCGGCTGGGGACGTGCACACCTCTGCCGCTCTGCTCAGTGAATGACTGTGAAAACAGCCATGAGCATGGATTTGAGGTCAGATTTCAGAGAGCAGATATCATAGACTGAATTTTGTCCCCCCCCCAAATTCTCATGTTGAGGTCCCAACCCCCAGTACTTAGAATGTGAACTTACTCGCAGAGGGGTCTTTTAAAGAGGTGATCAAGCTAAAATCAGGCTGCTAGGGTGGGTCCTAGTCGAATCTGTTGGTGTCCTTATGAAAAGAGGACATGAGGACACAGACACACACAGGGGAAGACCTTATACAGGAGGGGGCTAGTGTCCTTATAAGGGGGGAAGAGACACCAGGGGTCCCCAAACACATGAAACACCCTGTGAGGACACAGGAGAAGACGGTGTCTACATGCCAACGGGGAGAGGCCTCAGGGGTTCCAGCCCTGCCCACACCCAGATCACGGCTTCCAGAGTCCAGACTGAGAAATAATTGTTGTTTAAGCCACTCGTGCGTGGTTCTGTGGCGTGGCGGCCTGGGCACCTAACACGGGAGACATCCTCAAACGCAGGATCCGCAAATACAAGGAGAGCCTGCACGTGTGTAATGTTCACATAAGCAGTTTTCTTTCTTCTCCGTCTCTAAACACGCACTAAGTGGAGATCCCCCGGAGAACTCACGCGACACGGCCAGCCCGAGGCTGGCCCGCGCTACTCCGTGCCTTTGCTCTGGAGCCCGTTTCCAAGGTCGGGAACTGCTCAGGCTCCCGGGGCGCTTCTCACCTCCAGCCTCTGACTTCTATGCTTAAACACGGGGCTTCAGGTTGGCAAATGACAGCCCAGGTGAAGACTCAGCACCGGAGTTATCCCAGTTCTGTCACGCTGTGTGACCTCTTGGCACTTTTATTGCATGTTTAAAATATAAAACTGTGGGCTTCCCTGGTGGCGCAGTGGTTGGGAGTCCGCCTGCCGATGCAGGGGACGC